GGGACTAGAGCTCCCCGTCTCCTGGTGATTGGCCCAAAGTCACCCAGATGACTTTGGTGCCTATGGAGGAACCGGAACTCCCATCTCCTAGTCAACTTCCAGCTATGTGGACCAACTCCCATCCTTTCAGCAATGGCCATGCAACCTGGGGAATTCTGGGAATTGCAGCCCACCCATTTGGAAACTGTTGGGAATTGCAGGCCTGGGTTGTTTTGTACCAACCCGCCACAGCTTTTGAGAGTAGGAATTGCCTTCTCGGGGAAAAAACGAAAACCTGGCCAAGCGTTAATCCCAGCTCCACATTAATTGGCATTCAAAGGAGCCGTTGGACTCGGTTTCCATAAATCAGCGAAAAGGGCGCAGCTCAATTGGACGGTTTATTTCATCTGGTTAAACAAGCGCCAAAGCAAAAAAAAAAAAAAAAAAACTCCTTCCGAGGAGGCCTTCTTTCCAACCGCTTAATCAATGAAATTAAAAAAAAATAAAAATAAATTACATGGGAATCCCTGCCAGTATGAAGGGATGAACGTGAAGGAACCGGTGGCCCAAACCTGCATATTCGACCTCCCTGGGTCATGGCTGGCTTGTTCGCTTCGGCAGCCGAACTTTCCAAGCGGGGCGAGAAAAAATAAATAAATAAAGGCAGCGAAATGGTGGAGTTGGGACAGAGCCGCCAAGGCCCGTTGCCAGGATGATGCCACCCGGAAGAAGAAGAGGCTGCGGGAGTGGCCAGTTTTATCTCCCCTTTGGCTCGGCTGCCCTGCCGTGCCCGGCCATAAAATCCTACGGGGAGCTTTGGAGCCCTGGAATCTACGGCAGCGGGCGAAGTGCCAACGAGAAACCTCCTGCAGAGCCCAAGGAGAGCAGCTGGCATCGGAGGGCAAGGCTGGGCGGAGGCAGAACAGCCCCTTGGGACCCCGGAGGCTCCGGGATCATCGCTACGGCAGGCGGGGCGGAAGGCGGGGAGGAACCACCCCGGGGAAGCTCTTTTTCCAACACCTCTTGCAAATTAAGAAGTTATTTCAATAATTGGGCAATTAAGCCTAATTTATACTTGGGAAACACATTAATGGTTCGAGCCTCTTGTTCTGAGCCCCCCCCCCCCCCCCCCGCCTCACCACCCGTTCTTGCATCAAGTGGTCCCCGTGTTGCCACAAACAAACCATGACAATGAATGGCTTTCGACCGGGAGGAAACATTTGGGGGGAGGGGAGGAGGAGGAGGAGGAGGAGGAGGAGGAGGAGGAGGAGGAGGAGGAAAAGGAGGAAAAGGAAGAGGAAGAGGAAGAAGAGGAGCTAAAGGAGGAAGAGGAGGAGGAGGAGGAAAGAAGGAAGGGAGGGAGGGAGGGAGGGAAGAAAGAAAGAGAGGAACAAAGGTTAGATTAGATAGATAGATAGATAGATAGATAGATAGATAGATAGATAGATAGATAGATAGATAGATAGATAGATCGATCAGGCAGGCATGGGGTCTGATTTCTCTTCCTGTCCTCTTTCTTCCCTCTCTCCCGCTTTCTCTCTCCCACTTTCTCCCTCTCCCTCTCTTCCTCTTTCTTGCTTTCTCCCCCCACTTTCCCTCCCTTTCTTTCTCTCTCCCTCTCCTCTTTCCCTTTTTCTCTCTCTCATTTTCTCCCCGACTCTTTCTCCCCCACTTTCTCTCTCTCCCTCCTCTCTCCCTTTTTCCCTCCCTCCCACTTTCTCCCTCTCCCTCTCTTCCTCTTTCTCGCTTTCTCTCCCCACTCTTTCTCCCTCCCTTTCTTTCTTTCCCTCCCTCCTCTCTCCTTCTCTATCTCTCCCTCTCTCTCTCCACTTTCTCCCTCTCCCTCCCTTGCTTTCTCTCCCCTCTCTCCCTCCCTCTTTCTCTTTCTCTCCCTCCCTTTCTCTCTCTCTTTCCCTCTTTCTCTCTCCCTTCCTTTCTCTCTCAATCTCTCTCTCTCACACACACACACACATATGCAGGCTCAGTGATGATCACATCACAGCCCAGCACTTCCAGAGCTGCGACACCCCATTTTAATTTTTATTTTTGTATTTTTGCAGAGCTGAGGATGCTACCGGCTTGTGCCTTGGCATGACTGTGCCCCATAGTTCATTTCCATAATCCTTATTCTTCCGGCTATATATTGAGCACTGGAGCATGGTCTTCGGAGTGCGTCAGTTGCAAATCGCAGGGAAGCTGCTGCCGCTTCCTTTTTTTTAAAAGCCACCCTGCAAAGCTTTGACTTCCAGATTGCAAAGCCAGAGTCCCTCTCGGGAAAGAGGGCGGGGGGGGGGAAGAATGGGGGATCCGTGTAGCCTTTCAGAATCCTTCAGAGGGGAAGATGTGATTTTGGGGGCACCCTCTTCTCCATCACAACCCGCAAGGAACGCTCCAGGGGACTTCTCCGCCCCCCCCTTTATCTTCCCAAGTTTGATGGAATCGGGGCCCCAAAGCTATGGAGGGGGGGGAGAGGTAGGAGAATAGGGAAGGACCTGCTCTCCCCCTCCCCAGAGCAGACTCACGCTGCTGCCCTCCAGGAACGCACAGGCGGCCAAGAAAGCAGCCTGGCCATTGATTATTCCTTCACTCAGCTGGCAGGCCGAGTCCAGAGAAGCCAAACAGACAATGAGCCCTGGGAGGAGGAGACCTTCGGGGATTCACTGCATTAAGCCCTCCGTGGAATGTGCATCGGAGGTGGGCGGCCCAGCCAGCAGACATGCTTAGGCAAGCAAAGCGGGCTTGGCAGCTCACCTACCCACAGGGGCTCACCTCATCGCCAGCGGCACAGCCTTTTCAAGGTCAGCAGGAGGAGGAGGAGGAGGAGGAGGAGGAAGAAGAAAG